ACATCCGGGCCGAGGACGAGGAGTTGCTCATGATGATGACCTACTCCATGGTGCCGGTAGGGTGCGCCCGGGGAAAGGGCCGCAGAGCATCTCCTGGGGGCAGGGGCTGGAGCAGCATCCCCACGGGGGTCCCCCTCAGGAGTTAGGGGCTGTGCCCAAGCCGGCGCCCCAAGGGCATAGCCGCTTCCCCACCCGCACCCAGAAGGGCTGGGTCAGCAGCACCTGGCTCACAGGCACTGGCCTGAGAACTTCACTTCGTGAAGGTCACCAGCTGATTGGAGAGTGTTTTAAAAAGTGAATATTACCATGGAGAGAGCGTGAGAGAGAGAGAGTGAGTGTGTGTTCTGTCACACAGCCCACCTCTAAGCCAGTAGGTCTCCGCCAGAGGTAGGTGTGCCTCGAGGGACACACACAGGTTTCCCAGGGAATACATGAACTCATCTAGATATTATCATCGTTTTTACAACAGGCTCTCAAAAAAGCCCTAGCGAACTCAGTGCAAACTAAAATTTCATGCATACAAGGACTTGTTTATACTGCTCTATGTACTACACCCTGAAATGCAAGGTCAATGTTTATACCCAGTTAATGTAAGCTATTTTTCAATAATAGTGGTCTGGGACGCTTTTGTATTTTTATGTCTGATTTTGTCTGGAAAGGTTGAGAGCCACTGCTCCAAACAACCACTCCTTGAGCACCTACAGCCTTTGTAGCAGTCCATTCCTTGTTTCCATAAAGATCCCCCTCATATTCTGCTTGCTTTTTCAGGCCCCTTAGATAGTCCTTTAAAATTTGCCTAATCTTTGTTCCTAAATGTGAAAAAGCAGTGAAATTTACAGAATAGCAAAGCAAATCTCATATGTTTTCCCCTATTGTAGAAGTTAGAGATCAGAAAAGACTATCTGGATGTTGATCCAGCCTCTGCAGGGTTTGTGTTCCCTGCAGGGTATTTCCCAATGCTTTGTTCAGTCTAGTTTATAAATACTAAATACTGGTTAGAGCCTGCAAATATTAAGGTAGAGAACTCCATAAAACAGACTATATTGTTTTACAGCTTGTAATGCAAGTTTTGAAACATGCCTATTGTGCAGAGCAACATCTCCTAACAGGATCTCAAAGGTTTCCCATTTTTCCCTGAGACAGCTAATTTAATTGTTATTTATTTTGAAAGTGCAGTTCTGGATTTGGTTAAAACACTGCAGGAAGCTTTCAAAGTAGTTATGGTGTGGGTAACAAATCTTTACAAATTCAATTAACATTGCAATTTTTAGGAATTTACATTTTTAAATATCCCCCTGTATTACATCACTAGTTTCAATGACGTTATTTCATTCAGAACACTTAACTGTAGTCACATATATTTCCAATTCTTCACTATAGGTTGGACCTCCCTGGTCCAGCATCCTTGAGACCTGTCAACGAGGGAGTTTGCTGGACCAGGGGAGATCAACTCTGGCTCCTCTACCCTTAGCTCAGCAGGGCTGCTGGTGCCAGCAGGGCTCCCAGCCACCAGCCCCTCTTCCACTGGCCCGGAAGGGCTCCCTGACCCAGCAGGGCTTCCAGCCACTGGCCTGCCTGCTGCCAGACTCCCAGCCACCAGAGCATTCTGGTCCAGGAACGTCCATAGTCCTGCCAGATGTTCTGGTTTAAAGTGGTTCAGCCTGTATTAGGCATATTAGGCCTCCCTTTAGCAACCCATTCCTTCAAAACTTTATTCACTGAGGAAAAAATCAGTAGAACTAGTAGCATGAATAAGGAAAGCACGATTTAGTCCTTTGTTACAGCTGGGCCAGATTCTGAACTCTTTTCTGAAGCAAAACTGCACTGAATTTTTACACTTTACTGGACATTTTTTTTCAGAATATGGGGTTCCACTCATGTGCATGAGTATTTCTAGGACAGGGTCCCTAGCACCTGATTATACTGTATCTACTCAGTAAAAAATCCCATCAAGGTGTGGGAAACTAATTATGAGTTTTGCCTGAGTAAGGATTGCAGGCCCTGGTAAAAAAAATAACATGAAAAGGCAAATCTGACCCTTCAACCCTTAGCCTTTGTCTACACTAGTGATAATCCCCTTTTTTGAAATAGTAAGTGGAGTGTTCATACTAACAAGTGCGTTTTTTTTTTCAAAATAATTGGGCTGGTTATTTCAAAATCTGTACTCCTGCTTTACTCAGAGAATAACACTTATTTCAAAATAGTTATTTTGAAATAGTGGTAGTGTGGATGCTCTGCTGCTGCTATTTTGAAATAACTACTCCCCAGAGTAATTCGAAGTAATTATTCCCCAGTGCTTCCTGGGGCTCTAAATCAAGGCAGTTCATTCACAATAATGGAGCCTGCCTTGGACTAATTTTGAGGTTCCCCAAAGTGGGGATACGCTATTTTGATTTTGTTATTTTGTGAGTAATTATTTCAAATTTAGTTATTTTGAAATAATTCCCTAATGTAGACCTGCCCTTACTGATGTAAATACTCACAGTGACTTTAAGGATTTCTCATGGAAGTATTGTCCCACTAAGCGAGGTCACTATTAATAAACTATTGGTGTTTATATTTATGTAAATTAGGTCTGTCAAGCGATTAAAACATTTAATCGTGATTAATTGCACCATTAAAAATTCATTGGGATTAATCGCACAATTAATCACATGCATCTCCCTTTCGAAATTCCGCAGTGGTGTTTCAATGGGGCAACGCTGCATGGAGCCCAGAATGGAGCACTGCCCCTTGAAGCATGGCAGCGGCGTTTCCAAGGGTCAGCGCATTAGGAGCCTGGGATCGGGGACTCCATCTGATCCCCGGCTCCGCCGTTGCAAAGCCTCTTTGAAGCTCTGGAGCAGCACTTCAAAGGGGCTTTGCAATGCGGAGCTGGGGATCAGCTGGGCACTCCAACTGCTCCCCGGCTCCGCTTGTGCTGCCCCTTTGAAGTGCCATTTTGGCACTTTAAAGGGGCAGCGCATTAGGCACTTCAAGGGGGCAGCACAGCATTAACGCCTGCAATTAATGCATTAAAAAATTAACACATTAATCCTGTCCGACGTTAATCGCAGATGTTAACCCAGGTCAATTGACAGCCCTAATGTAAATGTTGTCACTGTAATGACTGAATTTAATGAGACTACTTGCATAAGGTGACTCACGTAATTACGATAATATAGAAGTTTATTGGCTTTACATTTTTAACAGAAGTACTTCTGATATTTCTTTTGCATAGAATGTTGTGTGGCATGTTTTTGGTTAAAAGGACAAAACACAAAGACTTAGGTAGTTAAGCAGCTTATGTTTCATTTTCTCATATTTCAGAACAAATGTTAGGAAGATCAGGTTTGCATAAATTGCTTTAAACTCTTTATATTAAAGAAGAAATCCTTTAAATAATATCATACGCTTTTTTTCTTACTGGAACATTTTATTTTCTGTAGCCTTAAAACCATTTGGAAATATTATTTTGTTACTTAGTGATATACAAATGAAAGAGAAATACTGTAAGTTAATGAATCTACTGTGCATGTTTTCCAATTAAGAACATTTTTACTCTGATCTGAAATGCAGCTTGAAACAGAAAGACTTCAGAAAAAATATCAACATATGCTAATTGCCAACGTAGGTTTGAAGAAGAAGAGGACCTGATTTTGTTATGTGTTGAGCACCCACTGATGTTAGTGGAATTTGAAGATGTTTTGACCCTTGCAGAAGTACTCAGAATCTTGTAAGATTGGGCCCTCAAAAAGATCTCTTATTTAAAGAATAAGCACAGATTTCCAAAGCTGCATATCTGTTATGAGTAGCTAAATACACTAAAATTAACCATCATATAATACTTGCATGATTACAACACATATATTGAGAAGGATCTTTTGAGACAGAAATTTTCCATCCATAGCAGAACTACAACAGAGAAGATGTTCTAAACTTCCCTATGCTCCTTAACTAAAAAGCCTGGATTCTGACTTATTGGTGGTATGGAGATAGTTTACTCTATATCAGAGGTGGGCAAATACTGGCTCATGGGCCAGATCCAGTTCACCAGATTAGCCCCTGGCAGGCCACCACCTTTATATTTACCTGTGTCTCTGCAGATACAGGTGATCACAGCTCCCATTGGTCATGGATCACTGTTCCTGGCCAATGGGAGCTATTAGAAGCAGTGTCTCGGACTATGCTGCTTCCTGCCACTCCCATTGGCCAGGAACGGTGATCCATGGCCAACAGGAGCTGTGATTGCCGGGAGCTGCAGAGGTACGGGTTAATATAATGGTGGTGGCCCATCAGGGGCTAACCCTGGTGAACCACCACTGTTTTATTGCCCACCCCTGCTCTGCACCCTCTGAATTCTTTGGTCTCTGTGTTGGAGTTTACCAATGAGGTGGTCAATCAATGCTAAATTTATGGATTTTGTTTAATGACCTGGACACCTGTCTAAGAGGAGCTACATGGAGGCCACCAATCACACAGGTCTCAGAATTGCCACCCGGCAGCAACAGCTTTTAGGAATTTCCCCTGAAGGCTGGATTTGAAACAATAAGCTGCAGAACAAAACCTGCAGTTTAGATCCTATTACTGATCCTCAAACAAACAAAATGACCGTTGGCTGGCAATGGGGTTTGCAGGTGCAAATGATAAATATTACATGTACTCAGATTATTTAAAGTGCACACACGTTTTTTTTTTTTAAACAAACAAGCATGTATTCTGAGTGGAGACAGTTTTACTTAAGCACAGGTGAAGGCTGAAAATTTGACTCTCGATGTCTTTTGGTTGATAAAAACCAACTCAGCTTCAACAGTACAATGTATACTACTTAAAAGAGAATGGATTTTATATTCTCTGGTAAGATACTTCTGACATCTGAAGACAGATGTAAGTATAGTGAATGATGAGATAAAGCACATTTTAGATCAGAAATATTGGCTAGCACTTACATAAGGACTCTTTGATTTTGCAAGGCAATGAACATTGCCACTTGCCATTTAAATTGCTGGGAATTGAGAGTACTCCTCATCTCTCATTACCGAGCCCTGTATTGTACAATGTTCACTCTTTGGAAGTAAAAAAAAAGATTGACAAAGAAATTTTAACAAAAAATACAATGCTCAAATTTTCAGTAGGCATACGTCCTGCAGCATGAGAACATTGTTATAAATATGTACTCGTTGAGATGGTGAATTGTTGTTTACAAGTATCAGAACAAAGGATCCCAATTACTGTAGTGCCACAAATGGATGAGTTTCCTGTAATCTAATTCCAAATTCATATGCTGCTCTGTATTATGTCAAGTGAAAAAATTGGTAGCGATCACCTTAGATAGCTGGTAAGCCAGTTGAGTTCAGTTGTAGAATGGAAAATGACTCACAAATGGACATATGTATCAGTTAAATACTGATCATATTTGGCTGCTGCCAGCTTCGATAACCTTTGATAACCTATCTCAGATACAGCACCATGAAAACCTAAATGAAATAAGATGCAAGTCTTTCTGTCCTGACTGCATCCAGAGATGTGCCCATGTAGATTTTTTTAATGCTATTAAAATGGTACAATGCACAGATTCTTAAAAGCAATCTAATTTACAGATACAAGTGCAGGTTTTCAGAAGGCCAAAATTAAGGCCTAAATAGCTTTCTCACATTCTACAAGGTGTTGCTGTAAAATAGATAATTTCCCCTACTGATTTTTACACAGCAGTCACAGGGAAAAATGAAGTAAATCAGAAAGCATTTTTGTTAGCCCTTTCTGTAGAAACTGAAAATCAGTCCATTGTTGTGAATTTTGCATTCTTTTGTAATATTAGGTCCGTGTGATGGTGGATTTATGTAACAGCACAAAAGGAATATGCTTAACAGGTATGTTTTCCAAGTACTACTGTAATGTTATGCTGAATGCTGCATGCTTGATGATTAAATACTTTTTGAGGAGGAAAAATTGGCATGAGATAATTGTAGGCTTTAGGATGGTAATTATTACAGGAGTGATACTATTGGTCTGATTAAAAAAATTACAGTATCATTTGTTTATGTTCTTTTGAAAACATAAATCAACAATCCTGTATAGTAGCAGTCATACCGAGTTATTGCAAATACAAGCATTTACAAAATCTCCAAAGTAACATTGCTACTTGGGGGGTGTTTATTTTCCAGATAATTTTCCTACCTAAGAGTCCCCTCTTGCAGAGCTTATAATAGAACTGAGATCTTTATCAGAACTGAGATCTTTATAATAGTTTTTAATATCTTTTGGCATCTGAGAGGTGCTATAACCACTAATGAGGTCAGTTGCTTGATTCTAGATCAGCATGGAGTAGACAACCCAGAGGTCAGAAGGGCTTTTTACACTGTGGCAACTGCCATGGCTAAGTTATGAGTGGAGGCAGAGGATAGGGTTGCCACATGGTTTCAACAAAAATACTGGACACACTTGACATTACATCACAATCTACATTACATCTTATTTAGAAAATAACGGACATTTATATTTTCTCAATTTGTTTTCCAAACAGAAAGCTTAAATTCTGGACTGTCTGGTTCAAAACCGGACACCTGGCTATCCTAGTAGTGGATTCTGAGGCTATGTCTACACTACAGGGTTTTTGTGCAAAAACCCACGGAGAGTCTACATCTCAAGCATGTTTTTGCTCAAGAAAATTTACAGTAGAACAGCAGAACAGAGGGCTTTTTGCAGTGCAGGGCTTTCTACAAGGAATAACTCCTTTTTGCGCTAGAGTTTTTGCACAAAAAGGTGTGTGTGGATGCTCAACAGGGGTTTCTTGCGCAAAACGAGCCTATCGGAAAAAGCACAGGTGTTCTGATGGCCATTCTGTTAATGGCAATCAGCACTTTCTTGCACAAGCGCGTCCAGGCAGTGTGGACGCTCTCTTGCGCAAAAGCGCACTGCTTTTGCAATGTGCTTTTGTAGTGTGGGCGCGCTGTTGTGCAAGAAGTTTTTGCAAAAGATCTCTTCTACAAAAAGCTTCTTGAACAAAAAGCCTGCAGTATAGACATAGCCAGAAGGATGAAAATGCTCATTACATGAGACTCTGAGGTTGGTTTCTCAGAAATACAAAGGAATTTCAAAATTCTTGGTGTCTGGGGTAGAGTAATATCATTAAAAGTTTGCATGTGGTCTGGGCAAACCAAAAAAAATATAAAGCTTTGGCTACTTCAAGGGCTCTGAATTGACATTGCTAGCTGAAGTAAGTAGCTGCTGGAGCTGATATACATACTTGAAAATGAGAAAATAAGTAAACCCTTTAGGTTTGGGAAACAGTTACGTAAAAGAGTTCAGGGCATTTGCAGTTGGCATGAGCTACAGATCCATTATGGTTTAATTTCAGTTTAACTGATTTGAATTCAGAATGAGTTAGAATTTTGTGGAAAATTTCCCCTTGATATACTGGAGACAAAATACAAAATGGACTCCTTTTGAAAATGCAAGTGAAATTTGACTGGAACAAAGACAGCTCCCCTGACAAGTCTTAAATATGTCTTGTGTTGAGTTCTAGAATTCTGACTTCACACTACTCCATGCCTGTTAAATCCCTTTCTGTGCACTCCCTGAATCTTCATTTCAGCTAAGCCCCACTCTAACATTGGTTTTAACAATAGCTCACTACACGGTAGACATTAGCTGTCTTCATTACATTTGCTACATTTCAAGTACTTTTCCTTTTCATGTATGTGACAAAAGGACATCTAGGATCTTCAGTGAGTTCAAGGTGACAAAGTAATTGAGAGTTCTAAGAAAAAAATTGTCCACAATGAAAAAAATCAGGCATTTATTGGAAAATTGCCTGAGACCAGCATTAACTGGCGTCTACCAGTGTTACTATAAAGTCAGTGCAGCTTTAGTGCGATTGTACACTGCTTCCCATTTCCTATAAAGATTTTTAATGAATGCCTTAAGATTGTCAGGTGAGAGCCAGAGGCTGTTTATTTCTTTAATTTTTTTGTAGAGTTTTATACTTAAAAAAAATCATTATAGCCCTGGTAAAAATGTTAGTTCAGAGAATTTGGTTCTTTAATCATAGACATAATATCTCTTCCAACTTTTCCTAGTTTTTGATTAAAATTTGTTTCTCTAGAAGTTACATAGAACAGATAATTTGTCATTTCTTATTGTGCCCTGTTTTATTTACTCCTGCCTTAGGGGCATGAAACTAATGTACAGTAAGGCCTTTTATTTGGTCAGTCAAGGCAAATAGGCCTTAGCATACTTCTTAAAAGCTCTGTTAATTTATGGGCTCTCAAGTGATAGTAAATAGTATGCTACTATCCAGGGAAAGTGATAATATTTTGCATATAGCTACTGGAGATTTCTTTTTAGTGTAGTTCAAGTCACTGAGGCAACGGCTACACTGCCGGGTTTTTTTTAGAAGACGATATGCAAATCGCACTCACATTTGCATATCTTCTTCTGATTCTTTTTGTGGAAGAGGTGTTGCTGCTATTTGGCCCTGTGTAGACGGTGCCAAATGTCAGAAATAAACCCTCTTTCACAAGACCCTTTATTCCTCGTAAATTGAGGTTTACAGGGTCTTGCAAAAGAGGGGTTTTTTTTCCTGACATTTGGCCCCTTCTACACAGGGCCAAATAGCGGCAAAACCTTCATTACAAAAAGAATCGGAAGAAGGTATTCAAATGCGAGTGAGATTTGCATATCTTCTTCCAAAAAAACCAAACAGCAGTGTAGCCATAGCCTGACAAAACAAACTTATAGCTTCCATTGGAATATCCTGTTTTGCACATGTCCCTGAATTACTAGCATGTATCCAGTTTCTATTGTTACCAAACAATGAACTTCCACAGGCAACAAACCCAACTCCAAATACAGAACAATTGCAAGTAAAGGAACCTATTTGTTATTTAGCCGTAGCTAGTGTGGATTAAAAAAGACTTCTATGATTATCCAGGAATGAGAGTGCTTTGGAATGCATATTCTCTACATTTTTTTTGTCATAACATCCACATTTGACCTGGGCAACTGTACAGCTGTTCTGTCATTACCGCAAGTAGGGCTTTAGATAGGGGTGGGCAATAATTTTTAAAAGGGGGCCACTTCACAAATTTCTGAAGTGGCCTCGGGCTGCCCCTGAAGAAGATGGGCCTCGGGCAGAACGGGCGGGACAAGGAGGCTTCTGTGCTCCCCTACCCACAGACCCTGATTGGCCTGCAGGTGGGGGAATGTGTGAAGTCTACCCCTACCCCAGAGAGAATTACCAGCTGTTTTAAAACAGCTGGCAGCTCCTTCTAGGTGCCACAGCGGGAGAAGGTCTCGCGTGCTAACCCCTGCCCCAGGCCAATTAGGGCTTGCGAGTGGGGGGAGCATGCAAAGTCTCTCGCCCCCTGCCCTGCCAAGGGCATGTGGTATCTAGAGAGAAATACCAGCTGTTTCAAAACATCCAGCATTTCTCTGTAGCTGCTGCGCACCCTTGAGGGGGGGGGGAGGAGAGGAAACTTCGTGCGCTCCCCCATCTGCAGGTCTCGATTGGCCAGGGAACGGCAGGGTGGCTGCGGGCCAGATCCAGCCTGCGGAGGCCCCTTTGCCCACCCCTGGCTTTATAGAACTTCTTATGAGGCACTAAGTAGTGTAAACATAATAATTAATGGCTAACTTAGGTGCCTATTAGTGAAAAGGGACAAACACCTGTCTTCTGATTAATCAATTCAGTAGCAGTGAAAATGCAGAGTCCATTCTTAGTCAATCAGATTTCATGGGAAATGTAAGAAATGACTGGGCTTGGCACACCAGGTGGGTGTTTGTATAATTGCTTGTGAGAATAATCTTTCAGCAAGTCTGACTGGATCTGCACTAAAGCATCATTAGTTACTTTTAATACAAAATTGTTAAACATAAATGCCTCTTTTCTGTCTTGGTTTGGTCTAATGGTAATCAGTTGAGTTTAGTATTGGTTTTACTTGAACTGCCAAGTTACACTCACCATTTTTTCTCTTTGTTTTTTGTTTGTTTGGTTTTTTTCTTCTTTTTTTGCTTGTTTTCCTTTAGGTCCTCCAGGCTCTCCAGGTAAGATTCTTTTCAATTACTGTAGGTATGATGTTGATTCACTTACTGGCTTAAAAATATTTTTGTAAAGACATCACCTTGGCAAAGTGATATACCGGTTAGTGTGAGGGAGAGAGGTGTATCAAAAATACATTTCCTGAAGACTGTCCCACATTCTATGAACCACATTTTCCAAAGATTAATAAGAAAATATATAGATACTGACGTTATTCCGAAATAACACGGCTGTGTAGACTTAGGGTGTGTCTAGACGACAGAATTTTGTCGACAAAAGTGGACTTTTGTCGACAAAACTATACCTGCATCTACACTACCGCTGAGTTCTGTCGACATAACGTCAACAGAACTCAGCAGTTTTGTCAACGCTGGTAAACCTCATTTTACGAGGCATAATGCCTTCTGTAGACAGAGTTCAGTCGACAGAAGGTGTTATTGCATGTAGGGTTGTGTCTAGACTACAGAGTTTTGTCGACAAAGCAGCTTGCTTTGTCGACAGAACTGAATGTAGTCTAGATGCTCTTTGTCGACAGAAGCTTTGTCGACAGTATCTGTCGACAAAACTTCAGTCGACAAAACCCTGTAGTCTAGACGTACCCATAGTTTCAGAATAGGATCTGCATGGGAGAGTCTTTCAGACTTTACTAGCAAACTGACCCATCAAATATTCAGGAAACTAATCCCATAATGGGTGTTTTTGATCAAGAAGTTTTTTTCTGTGTTTTTTCCTGTGGTCATGTCATGAGAAAGGTTGAAAATCATTAAGAAGGGGCTAGTAGCCAACATGTTACTTGCCTAATATCATACACTCAGGGGAGAGATGACAATAGAACTTCTAGTCCCTTCTTAGTGACTTTCCACTTTTCTCATTATATGACCCCAGGAAAAAGCACATAAAAAAAGGTTTGGGGGGGATCCCCTTCCATAATTTTGTTTTTTTTCTCTCATCTAGCCATAGAGAAAGAGAGCAAGGTCATGATCCCACTGGGCAGCTTCAGGACCCTCATTTTAAGAATACATGACCAAAACCCAAACTGCTTCTCTGTCCTAGTCTGGAAGCAAAAGGTGCAGCACCAACTGATGTCAATCACAGTTTTGTTCAAAAGATCCTGGGGGAAATATTGCCCTTTACCTTTAAGCTAGGACTTACGCTTGGTTATCAGAAAATAAAGATCATTGCACGGGAATATAGGGCATCGTACCCACTGAACTCAAATAGTGGCAGGTTCTGTGAATTGCTGATGTACAGGGTTTTGTCGACAAAATGCAGTAGATTTGAAGGTGAAATGTAAATGGTATTTGGTTAATGTACATTATACACTCCTATTGGTTTCTTCAGGACCTCCTGGACTGGATGGACTACCTGCTCCCAGGGCCAAAGGGGGAGCCAGGAGTAAATGGAAGAAGAGGAAAAATAGGTACTTTCCAGACCTATCCTATTTTACGCAAGTCTTCATTAATGTTATACACAAGTACACTTACTTATAGACACTGAGCAGGGGAAATGAGTTTCCTTAAATGTTCTGTTATTGCCAGCCCTATTTTGTCAGGAAACCAGAAAAAGTTGACACATATTATAGACTAATAAGACATATAGAACCAAGTTCTACTCTCTCTTCCACAGGCATAACTTCTGTGGACTTCACCAGCTTTTGACCAGTGCCATTCCATTGACTTCTGTGGGTGTACTATACCGAAGAAGAATTTGGCGATAGTAAATATACTCTAGAGAGAGTATTGCACACTCCTAATTAGAGAGAATTAATGCAGTTTATTTAAATCTCAGCATTTTCCACAGGTTATTGTTAATGGGAGTTGTGGTCTGTCATTCTAATAATTTCTTGTTCCCACACCTATCTATGGCCCTGGGAACCCAGTTAGCCTTTGGAAAGGCTTAAGCTCTTTGGGGAGACCCTGTCTTTCTTATATTTCACTGTGACAGCAGGCAGGTGTGTATTCAGTAATGTGTGGGTGGAATGGAGTGATAGCAAGAATGCTACTTTACTTCCATCCTCTTTCTTATCCATTTATATTGCTAGCTCTTTGATTCAGTGACTGTCTCTTACTAGGTGTTCGTACAGTGCCTAACACAGTGGGGTCCAGAGCTTGGTTGTGGCGTCTGGGCATGACCTTAATATGAATAAGACAAACACTTTGAAAACTCAGAGCTGGTCATAATAATAATACTTTGCTTTGTAGAATCCCAGAGTGCCTCGAAAACCAGATGTGGACATAAAGACACAGGATAGGCGTTAGAATTGCAAAGGAATATAGCGGTGGCTCGACGGAGCCATGTAGATTAGGGTTGTAGGCAAAGGGAAACGAAGTGGCGATTTAAATAATCGCTGCTTCATTTAAATTTAAATGGCTGCCGCGCTGAGCCGACAAACAGCTGATCAGTGCTAGTCTGAACGCTCTGCGGTCGACATCAAAGCCCTTTGTTGACCGCCCTGGTAAACCTCATCCCACAAGGAATAATGAGGCAGTCGACAAAGGGCTCATTATTGTGGGATGAGGTTTACCAGAGCGGTCAACAAAGGGCTTTGATGTCGACTGCGGAGCGTCCAGACTAGCACGCTGAGCCAACAAACAGCTGATCTGCTGTTTGTTGGCTCAGCGCAGCAGCCATTTAAATTTAAATGAAGCAGCGATTATTTAAATCGCCACTTCGTTTCCCTTTGCCTACAACCCTAATCTACATGGCTCCGTCGATGGAGCCATGTAATCTAGACACAGCCTCAGTGTCACCGCACCTGACTTCTAGGTGCTTAGGAAATTGTTGGGATTCACAGCTTAGTATGCTGGCTTTGTGAATGTCATTCTCAGGCACCTGTATCTCTCCTTGTTCATTGTGTAAGGAGCCCCGGCACCTGACAATGAGATTCACAAAACCC